TAATACTAAAAGGGCCACCACATTAATTCATCCTAAAGCCTGCATTCCTTAACCTTGTAGGTTTATTCCGATAGCTCGGTAGTTTTGAATCCCTATACTGTATCCAGCAGCTCTACAGCCATGAACCGTATCACCGAAAGCCATAAGCCCTAACACCCTTTGCCCTTGAACCCCAAGCAGTCCAAGCGACCTCCCGAAGTTGTGAGGATGGCGGCCCCAAGCCCTAAACCTGAAAGCTGAAAAAAAAACCCTAGACCCTAAACCCTAAACAAATGGTTTAGAGACCCATCCATCCTAAACCCTAAAGTCCCAAACCCTCCAACCCTAAACCCTAAACTCCGAGCGCCCTGGAGCCCCTTGAGCCGGACTCCGACCAGGGTCCCCCTAACCCTGAACCCTGACCCTACATACCCAAAAAAGCGAACCTAAGCCCCAAACCCCAAAAGCCCAGACCCTAAGCCCTAAACCCCAAAAAGCCCAAGACACCCTAAAACCCCAAACGGGCCCAAGACCTAAATTACTAAACCCAAACCCCAAACCGTAAAACGCCAGAAGCCCAAAACCTAAATCCTAAGCCACTCCAGTTTATGGGTATTTCTCTATATTAGGGTCCCTTTAGGGGTCCTTATTGTAAGGGTGCCGTGCTATATTGGGGACCTAAACAGGGACCCTAATTTAGAGAACTACCCTTATCGACCCGTGAGCTTCTGAAAGCAAAAAGATCCTAAAACCCGCGCAAGTTCAAGCACTTTAGGGCCCTTGAGGGTTTAGGGTTCAGGCTTCCGGGTGTAGGGTTGAGGGTTCAGGCGTCAGGGTTTCGGGTTTCGGCTTCATTTAGGGTTTAGGGTTCAGGGTTTAGGATCCTGTAGACCATTTTATGGAAGCCCTTCTACCCTACACCCTAAGCCCCAGAACCGAAAATCTTCCTAAACACTAAAACCCTAAACCCTAAACCCTAAAACCCTTAAGACCTAAACCCTAAACCCTAAACCCTGAAACCCTGAAGCCCTAAACCCTAAACCCCGGAACCGAAAAATCTTCTAGAAGCCAAGGACGTGCTTCTTCGGCGAGATGAAATCCTCGAGGCCCCTCCCAGCAGTTCGGCTTCCGGGCTGTCGCTTCTAGGGATTAGGGTTTAGGGCAATTTGGGGTTAGGTTTAGGGTTTAGGGTTTCGGGTTTAAGGAAAGTTTAGGGTTAGGGTTTAGGGTTTAGGGAAAGTTTAGGGTGTAGGGTTTAGGGAAAGTTTAGGCTTAGGGTTTAGGGTTTAGGGAAAGTTTAGGGTTATGATTTAGGGTTTCGGCCTGAATAACTACCGATACTATTTTACACGGGTTCCTCCTTCTCAGCATTCTATAACTATACCATACCATACCATATGGATACTGTAGTTCTCTAAATTCGGGTCCCGTTTTAGGTCCCACCCTTGTAAAAGGATCCCAAAAGGGACCCTGATTTTGAGAACTACGTATCTATCTATCTGTCTACCTGTCTATCTATCTATCTATCTATCTATATGTATGTGTACATGTATTATATATATATGTATGTATGTATGTATGTATGTATGTATGAATGTATGTATAAGTATCTATTAGGAGTTTACGATTCAGGGGTTTCTGCTTAAGGCAGTTATTTCGGGGGTGTAGAGGCTCAGGGTATAGGGGTCAGGGAGCCCCTGCGGCGTTCGCTCTCGTTCTCGGGTGCTATGTTGCCTGGTTCTCTAAACTAGCGTCTCTTTTCATGGGGCAGCCCGCTTTCTTGGGGGTGCCAAAAACGCGACCCCCCAATTCAGAGAACTGCCCATGTAACCAACGGTGGTAGATCGTGGTAGCTTCCAATCATGTCGCCCGGTTTCGGTTTTCAGGAATTCTGTGGAAGAGCTTGCTTGCCCTTAGAAGTTAGCTTTTTTGATACGAGTACCGCCAAACATGAGCGAAGCACGGAGAGATGCATCTTGGAGCAAGTTGGGTCAATGCGGACATGCTTGGGGGCGAAGCCTAAGCGGTAAGCCGCAAGACATTCGGCAGACTCTGCAGGGGACCATGCACATTAAACGGCAGTAATACATTAGGACAGCATGCGACAAACAGAAAACGGGACATCTGCGAACGCACACGCCCATAATAATGTTGATATTTTCATTAATAACCAATAAGAATCATGATAACAACGATTCCAGTAGTAGTAGTAGTAGTAGTAGTCGTCCCCTCCGTCGTCGTCGTCGTAGTCGTAATCGTAGTAGTAGTAGTAGTCGTCGTNNNACAATAGTAGTAACAATAGTAACAATAGAGGTAGCACAGCACCCCAGAGGAGTCGACTCTACGGATTGATGGGACTTCTGCTGCGGCTTCCGGGCGTGGCATTGCGACCCGCCTCGGTTTTTTCTTCCGGCTGCAGCGGTTCATGGCCCTAAATACCCTAAGGTTTAAGGGATTTAGGGTGTAGGGTTTAGGGTTTAGGGTGTTCAGTATTGAGGAGCTTAAAGATCTGACGGAGTTGAGGGCAATCTACTAGGAGTGATTGATTAGGCGGGTGTGAGAGATTTTTCGACAACTCTCAAAAAGCCCTTTGCACAAGAAAGCACCCTCTAAACAAAAGCCAAACCTGTAAACCCTAAGCCCAGAAACAAGAGCCCTAACACAGGGGCCGAAACAAGTACCAAGAAACCAATTCTATTTCGGAATTCCTTCTTATAAGGATTGTATGACATACACCAAAACCCTATTCTACTTATTAAGGCCCCTATACTAAACCCTGAAAGAGCCCTTTATTAAAGGAACACTTAAAGGAACCCTATATTCTACTTAACAAGAGCCCTAAACGTGCTAATGTAGAAACCTCATCAAGGAGCCCTGCCCTCCGACCCCAAAGTGGTAGGATACGTAAGGATTCCTAATAAAGCCCCAGGGCTTTTTTAGCCCTAAGCCGCAAAGCAAACCCCTGCTTAAACCCTAAACCCTATAAGCCCTAAATGCCTTAGCCCTAAACCCTAAACCCTGAACCCTAAACCCTGAGCCCTAAACGCCTCAGATCTCGACGGTCCCAGCTGCGGGGCTTGAAACTCCAGAAGTACCACGAGGAATTGGAGCAGCTCCGGTTATGCCTGCCCTGACGGATGAGGCGGCGATGGGGTCGGGCATCGGCATCGGACAAGCTGGACTGGGGGCTTGGGGATGATCATGCTGTCCCGGTGGGAGTTTGAGGTGTTCCAGCAGCTGTACGAACAGTGGCAGTCGGGCAAGCTCACCGCAGATGACATCCGTGCCCGCTACGGTAGGGCCACCATGGAGCTCTTGGAGTCGCAGCACATTGTCATGGGCAGTTCAAGTGTGGACAATGTTGCGCAGTGTGCAAGCGGGCTCGGAATTGGTGGTACGTCGGATACACTGCTTGACACTATGTTGGCTACCTGTCGCTCGGAGGACATGGTGAACAATCGCTCGTGGGATGTCGAGAAGAATGGATCTTTCGAGGATGTGAATGGTTCGTGGTCGGAAGGCTGTCGTAGTCTGCGTGCTGCGGAGACTGAAGGCAACAAGGGTGGCAAGGGATCTGAGTAGTCGCGTCGGCGCCCAAGAGACTTCTAGTCCAGGAGCGGTTTTAGCTATTTCGAAGGGGGCACACAGGCCTGCCTTACCAAGGCTCTCCGGCCTTGTCGCAAGACGCAAGACAGAAAAAGGCCCTCAAAAAAAAAACACGCCTAAGCCCTAATCCCCAAACCCTAAACCTTAAGTCCCACAGAAACCAGAGCCCTCAACGCGCCTCGAAGCGGAGCGCCGAGGATCGCGGTCTCCATTTGATCTGCCGTTGTGCCGAGGCCTAGAAACGAACTCCAGGTGTTTTAATGGTTTAGGGTTTAGGGTTTTGGGGGTTTAGGGGTTGTATAGGCTTGGCACAGGCTGCTGTTTGATTTCTTGGGTTTTTTCGCGGGTCTTATGGGGATTTTACAGAGCTTTTGTAGAGTTTTACAGTGTTTTGGTACCGCTGGGGCTTTATAGGCTCAGTAGGGGGGTTCGAATAATCAGGGTTGTGGGTTACGGTCGTGGTTTTTGGCGGCTGAATCTTTAGTAGCACATCCTACTTCAAGGGTTCGTTTGAGGGTTTTTCATGGGATTGTAGGGTTTTATAGGAGTTGCGAAAGTGACATGGTCCTTATATAATTCTTAGTATTATTTTCCATCTTCCATACATAGCCGCATCATGTGTGTGTACCATATATATATATATTTATTTATTTATGTTAAGGAATATGGGTTTGATAAGGGCTTTATAGGTACTTTATTGGGATTGTCGACTCATAATGGTCCTTCATTAAGGACTTAAAGGTAGCATTCAGAATTCTCTATGGATTTGCAGCATGCTAATTACGGCCCAGAACCCTAAACTCAAAACCCTAAGCCCTAAACACTAAGTACTTTAGGAGTTCTGGGTGGCCAGAGGTGGCGTCGTTTTGGGCTTCGAGGGGCTGTGATTGACCCAGTGGTTGACTGTAAGGATCAGCCCTCACGCGTGTTTGTGGCTTAGGGCTTAGGGCTCTCTCAGGGCATAGGACAGCACATGTTTTTGTTCAAGAGGTTGTCACGGTCATAGAGGACTCTATCAGGGATCTGCAGGATTGCAAAGGGGTTCGTAGGGTTTCAAAGGGGTTCCTCGTGTTTCACTGCATTGGGGCTTCAGGGTTTCAGTGCTGCATCGAGGGTTCTGCGCGGAGTCAGATTTAGGGCTTCCATGGACATGTGGCTGGTTCTCTGAATTTTTTGAACCCTTTAGGGTCGTTTGTATAATTAAGGGTGCCGTGCTATTCTGGGGACCTAAAAAGGGGACCCTAGACCCTAAACCGTGTTTCGTAAACGATGCCATGAGCAGCTAGGAAGAGGCGAGCTTCCACGTACTTCCGAAGCTGCTTGTTCGCGTTTACGGTTTCGGGGTTTAGGGCTTAGGGTTTAGGCTTTTAGGGTTTAGGGTTTAGGGGTTTTCTCCATTTCGCTGCAAGCACTCATGCTCGCTTGAGGTGATATGGCGGCCGGCAGAATCAGTGATTTTGTTTGTTCCCTTGTAATCCTGCCGTAACATGGTGCATCCTCAAACGCCCCCCTAGGTGGATTCCCTAAACCCAAAACCCTAACCCTAAACCGAAGCACCCCTAGAGTGGCCACGAGGTGGATTTCCAATGGTCCCTACTGCTTCAGACCCTGTAGAACCACCCTAAACCCAAAACCCAAACCTAGATCCTAAGCCCTTATAAACCCTAAACCCTGAGCCCCTAAACCTTAAATAAACCCTAAACCCTAAACCTAGATCCTAAGCCCTTATAAACCCTAAACCAACCCAACAGGCCGTAGATTTGAATCCTCTGAATCCTTCAATCCGGCAACCCCTGAGCCCCTGAATCCCGAAGTCTGTCAACCTGGGACCACACCTTGGTCCGTTAAACCCTAAAGCCTAAACCTTATGTCTCCATTGTAGTTCCGTTTTTTAGTTTAACCAGTATTATATCCAGGATCCCCTAAGGTAGCCCCAAAAAGGAACTACATGTAGAATGGAGACTATAGGTAAACCTTACAAGCCCTAAAGACACTCTCAGACCAAGGATTTCCCTCCGCAATACGCGGCGAGGCCCCCGGTGGGGTTTCTGAAGCACCACGCCGTCCAACCCACCAGCAGTGTGAGATGAATTCGTTCGCAAAGGGGAGACCCAGGCATCGTCAAGACCCCAAGGCCTGAACCGGATAGTATGAAAACGTCTCCAACGGTTTAGGGTTTAGGGTTTTGGGGTTGGCAATAGAGGTTTGTATATTTTCCTTAAGACAGGTTTAGGTCAATAGGGTTTAGTGCGCAGCCCGGAAAGAAAAAGCCTTCATATGCCAGACCCCTAGTAAAAACTAAAGCATCTTCTCCGCAGCACACCTTCCGCCCTAAACCCTAAACCCTAAACCCTAAACCCCAAACCTTCCGCCCTAAACCCGAAGCGCTGCTGCCACAACAGTCTTCCTGAGAGGGCCCCAGAGCTGTGGGCTTCCGCGGATACAAACCGACAGGATTGGCGTTCAGGGGGGGTTTGGGTTTAGGGCTTAGAGGGTGTAGGGTTTAGGGTTTAGGGTTTTGGGGGTTTTGGGGGTTTAGGGTTTTTGGGGTTTAGGGTTTAGGGGGTTTGGGCTTGGGAGTTAGGGTTCAGGGTTTATAGGTTGAGGGCTTCGGGACAAGTCCAGACAGGTTCTGTACAGTTTTTGCAGAATTTTTTCGGAATGAGAATGCAAGCTGGGGGGTTCGAGCGTTTACTGGGCTTCGAATGGCTTCGACTGCCAACTGCTGTGACTATTGCCTCATAGTCCCCTCATGGCCTGGAGAATATGTTCCTAAATCGCATTATAATCCCCTTGCAGTCGGATCCGGGTAATGTGTTCTAGAGTTCAGGGCATGGATTTACTTGCTCCACATTGCATTCCACAGAGTGCGGTTGGCTTGCACGGTCGTTGAATCTCTTTGTACCTGTATCTTGGGTAGGGATCCTTATTTCTTTTTCGTGGCGTGTGTGTCTTGCTGGTGACATTGTTTTTCAAAAGGAGGTTTGCCCTAGAAGCCTTGAGCTGGGCTCTATTTCTCGGTAAGCCCTGACGCTCAGTTCTGTCCGCCGCCGGAGCCGTCGGCGTAAGCCTTTTCGGGTTCTTTATTCATCTGGGTCCTTGTTGGATACACTTTTGCATTTCTGTTATAACAAAACCCAATAAGAATGAAACATGATGATTCTTAACATATATATATATATACATATACATATATATATATAGACATATATATATATATACATATATCCCCAACAAGGAACCAGTCATTACTGGTGCTTGACGTCCGACGTTCTCGCCGCCAATATGGGTTTAGGAGACCCGTAGCCGAGTCCTTAACTCTAAGAAGTTTTAGGGTTTAGGGTTTAGGGTTTAGGGTACTTTAAGAATTTAAAAGGCCCCAGGTCCTAAACCCGAACCGTAAAAAAGGCAAAAACGACATACTAAGCCCTGACCTTAAAAAAGCGCCGAAATCCTAAGCCCCAAATTCCATACTCTGCACCCAGTTGGATCCGGGTTTGTGAGTGTTGAAAAGTTGGCCAAGGGACTAAGGATGAAATTCTGTCCTTGAGAACTGTTTGCTTTATATCCAGGATAGAAACCCAGTGGGCCATCAGAAGGTGTTTCTATTTTGGTCCAATGGTTTTTGATAATGGTGCTTGAAGTGTCGAGTAGCGCTGGGTCGAGAGAACTGTAAGCCAAAGGTTACAATGCCCCATTATGGTCCCAATATCATAAAGTCATGCCATAAATTACTTCTTGTGCCTATTGATGAGGCCCTATACTTGTGGTTGCAACAGGCATCGCTGCGTAATCAGGTACTTGCCAAGAATTTCAGATCAAGAATTGGCAGTGGCACTGAGAATGGGCGAAAGAACTAGATCGAAGGAATCAGTATTCGTCAGTGGCCATCCTAAAGCCTGAACTCTCCGTTTCCAAGTTATAGCAAACAAAAGCTAACAAGGAACAGCAACAAAAGCAAGGGTTTTTTTGGCATTTGATATTTTTCTGGAAACCAAAACCCTGGAAAACGGATTCATGGAAGCCTGTCAATACCCTAGAAAGCCCCTGTTCTAGTCCTTAGGCCTAAAATTAGATCCAAAACCCTATGTTAAAGCCCTAATTGGTAGCAGAGTTTCAAGTCCGCCCCCGTGAGTGAGCCATCGTGGCCATATAGGGAATAGGGTTCTACAGTGTTCCATAGGGGCTTCATATGCGGTTCTGTTGTGGTTCTAAGGGTTTTGCCAGTTCTTGAGTTTGTGTTCGCCTCACAGTTCAGTGTTGGGGTGTAGGCTGGGTTTGCTTGCTTAGGGTTTAGGGTTTAGGGTTTAGGGATAAGGTCTTGGCGGCAACAGGCGTCACAAGCACTGCGAAGAATTGTACAGTTTGTACAGCCACTCGCACGAAGTGGGTTCTTGAAGAGCCGGGACAGGAGCCAACTGTAACCTTCCGCTTCAGGAGCGGGATTCATAGAAGCCTCGACAATGAATTTAATCCTGCCTCATGTTGTGTGCAATACTTCGAAGGCATTGAGTCTCCAATCCCAGGTCCGCTCTCAGGACTCATGTAAGAGCAGTTTTGAAAGCCAAATCCCTAAACCCTCAACCCCTCAAAGCTTACGACCCTCATCCCAAAGAAGCTAAACCCTGAACCCCACAGCCCTGAACCCTAAAACCTCCAAACCCTGAGCCGCACAACCTTTTGCTTGCCCCCCGAATCCCTGAGAGCTAAGAAACCGAGCCATGCATTGTCAAGGCCGCTAAGGGGAGCATGTAGGGGCCTTCATAACTAGGGTTTGGGGTTTAGTTCTTGGGTCATGGGAGAATGTATTGAATGAATCGCGCAAAATGCCGCTGAACAGTCGGGTAAATTCTCAGCCTCAGCTTCTCAATGATGTGGTGCGGTTCCATGCTTAGGGCACCATGTCCTGGACAATGCTCCACAGCACGATGCTGTGCACTTGTTTGCATGCCTAGTTGACAACATCGTGGTGTTGA